CTTCTGCTCCTTCAGATGCTGTTTTGAATTCGAGTAACTGTAAGTATCATCGACTACAGTCTTTCTTTTCTTTACTTTTCTTTTCTTTCCAGCTAAATAAACGCTCATGGATACCCATGAAGCACAATATTGGGAAACAAAATCTGCCGAAGAATCTCCCATTACCAAATTTTAATTTAACTCCATAGCTATTCACACGAAGACCCTTTTTCTCGGGTTACCCTCTTGCTGTGTTCCTTGTGACGTCAAGAAATACATACATCACACAGTTTGATAAAACTGGAGATCTATGCACATGCCCAGCATACAATGAGAGCTGACCGAGGTAGCCCGGGCCAAGTCCGTCACCACGGAAAGATTACATACCAGCCTCCTCAAATCCACCGTGTGACTCATCCGAAGTAATACGGTAAACCTTTGACAAAGGCTGCACATGTGTAAATACACGTCTAAGCTGTTGTTATGTTCCTCCGTTGCTACCTAATCTCTCCATACTCCGTGACGCCGTGACTGGGCGGTCCAAGTTTATAAACACCAACACTTTGGTCTTTAGATGCTGTTACTAAATCTAACACGCAGTCAAGGAAGGAAACTGCTTACTCCCAAGAACATAACAATAATAAGAACCCTGGAAACGAGGTTGCTGCTCGAGAGACGTCTGAGATTCCATACTGATGACGTCACAAGCACGTCGTGCTCTTATTTGGTCTTACTCAGGTTTGAATTTTGGCACGAAAATAATAACCAATTAGAACTGTGCATGGATCTCTGTACAGTTACGTCATTCGTAACGAATATTTTCTAGCAACATACATACATACATACATACATACATACATACAAACATACATACAAACAAACAAACAAACATACATACATACATACATACATACATACATACAAACAAACAAACATACATACATACATACAAACATACATACATACAAACAGACAGACAGACAGACATACATACATACATACAAACATACATACATACAAACAAACAAACAAACAAACAAACAAACATACATACATACATACATACGTTTATTTGATAAGTAGGTTTAAAATAAGCAACTGTACAGCTGATGTGGACCTACTACTACTAAGTCTAAATAAGAGAAACAGAAATTTACAATACAATTGTCATAAAGCTAAAATAATATATACAATAATATATACAATTACTTGTCTTGTTTCTGCATGCAGTAATGGAAAAAGGCGTGAAACTTTGGGACAACGTGAATACAGCTTTTATCTTCTTTTTTCAACCACAACCTGATCAATAAAAGCATTCACGAAAATTGCTAACAGCTACCAAGGATACATTCATCATAAGGAGAAATATCAATGTCTTCCACGTCATCTGAATGGCAAAACAAGTCCTCTACAAACTCGTGATGATCAGGATATCTCCTGTATCTACAAGAATCAGACAAGCATTTCATTCAAACCACATTATTTTTACTTCAGTTGGTCACTACTGGTCTCTTTCACTGTAGTGTTTGAGTCATAATGAAAACCTTCAGTCCACAAGTGGTAACAGGTATTGCCTGACGAGTGAGGGGCATTGCATGACAATTGACAGGCATTGATTGATGTGTGGAGAGAATTGCGTGAGTTGAACACCAAGACTGCTTTCAGGTAACATTCAAAACAATTTGCTTATAATAAGTATGTTAGGAAGTGTAACAATTGACTAATGGATGTAAACTGATTTGGTCTATGTATAGCCTGTATAAAAGGTGTTAAACGGGAATGGGGGACAGGGAGGCAAGGCGCAGATGGAAGGATGGGGCTTCTTCCTCGCGT